ATACCTCTTTTGTTTCTCTGACAACTTCCATTACTGGTGACGACATCTTTGTGGCAGGTTTTCTTTGACTTGAACCGTTGAACGTTTAGGTCGGCTTTTCTACTTTAACAGGCGACTGCAAGATGAATTTGAATTTGTGCTCCACGATGGTCGTATTTATTTCCATTTATCACCGGAAGTTATAAATGGAAATGTAAGCCTGGGATTCCCAAAATAGCAAAAAGTCACATGCAGTTTAAACAAAAATGAAAGTCACGGCCTTGCTAGTACGCAAAGATATCAAATTCTGTAATCTTTGCTCAATTTATTTGAGTTAAAACCAATGAGCGTCTCTGATCACTTGTAAAAAACCTTACTTTTTTTGGCCTTTTATTACATACCCAATGCTGTAGTTAGAAAGAACTGCGAGAGGAAAACGAAATATCCACAATTAACATCTAGGAAAAATTGCAAAAGTGGTCATTTACGGCCAAAGCTGTTTGAGGCGAGTAGAAATGTCTATCAGAAAATGAAATTTTTCGGGTTGACTTCTCTTCTTGATCTCCTTGTAGCTGAAGATTATTCTAATTATGGAAGCCGGTTTTTGTCATTTCTGGTTTGGTGTACTTTTTTCTATAAGCCACTATTATCATCATGTATTCTAAAAGAAAAAAAAAAAGATTTAACCTTTTCAATTTTTTTAGGTCATCAGGTACAAGAACTCCTGAATGTTTTTGCCACTTATTAGAGTTCTCTGTTTTGAAATACAGCACGTGTTTTCAGTTCGTGTCATGCAACATTGATAGCTACCGCGGAGAAAGCTGCCATTAAGGTACAGAGTTGCTTTTGCGAGCGATCGATTGCAAAGCAAACAAAATGTCACAAAATGACTTTTATATATTATCACAATTAAGTTCTCTTTGGAATAAGAAAGGCTTTTGTGTCTTGGTAGACAATTCATAATCTGAGTGTCAAACAAGGATAAAAGAATTGACGAACTTAAAAGCCACAGGAAAGAAAATACAGCAAAGATTTTCTTCGGCTGAATGTTTACTTTAAGACAGAATTCGTATTCTCAGACAGTCCTGGAACGAGTGGGACCTTCTCGCCAAGAGGACAAACAAATATGAAAAAACTGCGGCTGAGTTTCAGGAGTTTGCCGAATTTAAGGAAGATTTTAAACATTGTAAAATTCCGAAGGGTTCCGAAGGGCTTACATACTTGAGAGATCATTATTTCAAACAACAAAAGGAAGATCTGCTCATTATACTAAGAAAAACAGCTATCCTAACCATTATTATATTGATGAGAAGAAGAGTGCTTGGTGAGCGATCGAGTATATAATTTAATATAAACAGAGATGTTCTTAAAATCCCCGAAGCCATTTTAATTGTAATTTTTAGTGTCCATTAAACTTTTTGAAGAATATCTTTTATTGAAATGGACGTAATTATCGAAAGCCTGCGATAAAGTTAACGGTGATGTTATCACACCTGCTTTGCAGTTGAAATTTTATAACAGAGCGGATGCAAAATCTTGAATGTGTATTTGAAGTAAAGCAAACGACTCTTTCAGTGGATAATTGACGGGGCTTACCGTTCAGCACACAGTCCATGTGCATTTTAAGGAAGTTAAACCGGTTTGAACAAAGATGACTAGGTAAAGTTTATTTTTAAATTACACCTGTGCGAAAGTACAAAAACGTGCACGTAGTTGAACACAGAATTTGATACAGACGATAATTCTGTGCAGTTTAAACTCCACACTACAGATACACACAAGAGAAAAAGAATAATAATAAGAAGAAAATTTTATAAAAAGGATTTGAGTATTGACATTTTGACACAATATACCATTCTCTTGATTACTTCTTGTTTGTCTTGTTTCTTCTTTTAGCTTCGTGGCTTTTTAACTTTTGCTGTTAGTACGACCGCCTCTTGCCACAGTTTTGTTTCTTGAAACAGGTATCCTTTTAGCTTACCGGTAAGGTTTCAGCTTTTAAATCTTGCAGTTTTTTGCTGATTTCTATCGTTTTGCAGCGATTTAGCCGGGACTAACCAATGTTTGTTTGCGTTTTTGCTAAAAAGTTCCCCGCTTTAGCCTCGCAATCATGCTGTGAAGCCTCTCGTCCCACGGCCGTCGGGAAATTTACACATACCAATCTTAGGGTTTTGAAGTGAATTCGAACAAAAGAAGGCGATACGGGCAACTAAACAATTATATAAACAAAGAAATAAAAACGGCGATAACTGACTGCTGGAAAAGTTGTTCGTGTTATTTATTCAAGATCGAAAGCTACATGTAATCGTTGACAACAACCTTTTCTGAAAAGTAGAAACTAGCGAGGCAAATTCAATGAGAAACGGCAGAATCTAGATTGAGGGAGCAAAAATGGAAAACACACCTACAAACAGAGGAAAAATGTCGAACAAACGGTGCATAAAAGCAAGATTGCAGTACTTACAGCGTAGGTTAAAAAGCTAGCGAAGCGACACCATGAGCCGCCCGTTTTGTTTTACCTTAGCGGTTTTCCAGGCTCACTTGCTTGATTCTCCTTTCAGATGTTTTGTCTGGATAACAAAATTCTTTTTTCCTTAGCTAATGCTAATAATAGCGCAAGTTTTAAAAGAAAAAATGTTGAAAAATCACCGGTTTTTCTCATTCACAAACAGCAAACAGACTTGTGAATAAAGCTCCCAAGCGGGCAAGATCGTAAAAAACCGCCCGCTCTCGGAACCAATCAGATTGCAAGATTTGGAGGATTCCGCCCGCTCGCAAGCTTAGAAAAAAATAAATGTGCAATACTCTTTGAGTACAACATTATGCACTGGTTCTTGTACCAAACTGGAAATGGTTAATGGTTCGAACTTTGAAACTGACCATGAACTTATAAAATAAATATTTCCTGTTGTTCATGTCACTGAGAAAAGTATGTTTGCTCTTAAATACTCTTCGTTATACAATTTTATTAACATGATGCTCCTTACAAAAAAAGATGTATAAATCTCAACAGCTTAAAGGTTTATCAAGTTACAGCAAGAGAAAACAACCGACACTATGGCATATAGGATTATGCCTTAGCTTCTTGGCCATCTTAAAAAATATTCATGCGCTCGGTGATTCTTTTTACCTTTCTATAAAAATCTTTAGCCACTTCAGAAAAGGAAATGCTGTGCATTAAATAATATCTTTACAGTTTACGTTCTTACATCTATTTACAAGCTATAATTAAAAGCGATTTGATCTTGAGACCTTATCAAAAGATATTGATTCTTTGATAACTTCAAAAGTTTGCCTGTGTTTGCTTATCAATCTTTCTATTCCGCAGTACATCGTTTGTTGCTCCCCCGCCCTTTTTTCAGCTAATACCCAAGGCTGAGTTTTCGCGTTATGTTTTAACCTATCTGGAAAAATAACTTCTGTTTACAGCGTTGCTTAATTATTGCTAAACATTTACTTCAGGATCTTGTTAAGGACTATTCATTTTCCTGTTTAATTACAAGTAACAGCCTCCTGGATTTCAAAAGTTCTGGCTTCAAAGATGGTTTCTGCACCAACTGGAGTCGTTACCATGTCACCGTCTGGTAAAAATCGAAACCAGGCTTGTCTGTTATAGGTTGTACGGCCCTTTTTCCGCCTCATGGCTGCCTTGCCTGACTCATCACTGACCAGAAACATTTCTGGATTTTCAGCCGACTTTATGTTACAGAAAACGTTACTGGCTTTTTCAACATGAAACAAGAACCTGGCATCAGTGGGCTCGCTATCGGAGGATCTCTACATGTATATTAAAAAGAGAAAAAAGGTAATAAACATGATAAAATGACGTTACTGTGTCATATAATTACGTATCGATCTAAAAGAATGGCTTTGTGAGTCACTGGCGTTAGGCCGTGTAAACCCTTAAGACTGTGTTTTTTTGCGCTAAAAATAGTTAGATCGTCCCGTTCGATAATTTTCAGCCATGATCTCAAGTATGAAGGGCAAAGTAGCAAAGGGGCCTTTTTAACCCCATTAAAATTCCATTTTAGCAACCCTAGAGAGCCGGGTTAAAAGAGCAATACTCCATTTTTGTGGGGGAACTTTTTTCAGTGTTAATCTCTTTCTTTTAGAGTTTCCAGTACGAGCAAAGATGGCTGAGAATACTTTTTTCGCTTTTTTCAGGTCATTGACGAGTTCAATTAAAACTCCGAAGAGATTCTAGCGACGTTTTATCAATCTGATACTGGTTATTCACTATACATATTAAGCAATAAGTCATTGACAGGCATTTTTTAAATGTAAATGTTCTTTATTTATTTATTTTTTAACACAGCTCTTAAGTATTCCATAGTAATACATGTACAATACTCTTTGAGTATATGCACTGGTTCTTGTACAAAATTGAAAATGGTTAATGAAACTTGAAACTGACCAGGAACTTATAAAATAAATACTTCCTGTTATTAATGTCACTGAGGAAAGTATGTTTACTCTTAAATACTCTTCGTTGTACAATTTTATTGACATGATGCTCCTTATAAAGAAAGATGTATAAATCACAGCATCTTGAAGGTTTATATCACATATTACAGCAAGAGAAAACAGCCGACACTATATACATGTAGGACTATGCCTTTGCTTCTTGGCCATCTTAAAAAATATTCATGCGCTCGGTGGTTCTTTTTACATTTCTATAAAAACTTTTCCAACAACTTGAGAAAGGAAAATGTTGAAAATTAAATAATATCTTTGCAGTTTATGTACTTACATTTATTTACAAGGTATTAAAAGCGATTAGATCTTGAGATCTTGAGTGACTCTTTTTGAGAACTTCAAAATGTTTCCTTATCAATCTTTCTATTCCGCACTACATCCTTTGTTGCACCCCCCCCCCCGCCCCGCCCATTTTTAACTAGCCCCCAAGACTGAGCTTTCGCGTTATGTTTTAACCTATCTAGAAAATATACTTCTACTTACAGGCTTGCTTATTCCTAGACATTTACTTTCAGGATCTTGTTAAGGACTATTCATTTTCCTGTTTAATTACAAGAAACAGCCTCCTGGATTTCAAAAGTACTGGCTTCAAAGATGGTTTTTGCACCAACTGGAGTCGTTACCACGTCGCCGTATGGTAAAAATCGAAACCAGGCTTGTCTGTCATAGGTTGTACGGCCCTTTTTCCGCCTCATGGCTGCCTTGCCTGACTCATCACTGACCAGAAACATTTCTGGATTAACAGCCGACTTTATGTTGCAGAAAACGTTACTGGCTTTTTCAACATGAAACAAGAACCTGGCATCAGTAGGCTCGCTATCAGAGGAACTCTACATTGAAAGCACAAAAGAAAGTGATAAACATGATAAAATGACGTTACTGTGACATAGTATGTATCGAAAGAATGGCTTTGTGAGTCACTGGCGTTAGGCCGTGGCAACCATTCTGACTGTGTTTTTCTGTGCTGAAAATAGTTAGATCGTCACGTTAATCGATAATTTTCCGCCATAATCTCGAGTAGTATGAAGGGCAAAGTAGCAGAGGGGCCATTTCAAATCCGCTCTCTTAAATTTCATTTAGCAACCCTAGAGAGCTGGATAAAAGAGGAATATTCCGCTTTTGTGGGGGAACTTTTTTCAGTTGTAAACTCCAAAAAATGCAAGGTTTACAGAAAAGTACTTCCATCATTAACCGTAAAACATGTTAGGGTATACGTAAGGTGAACTATACTTAACTTCCACCTTAAAATGTAGCTAAATGTAAGTCATTTTACTTAAAATAACTCGTATTCATTTACTTACCATCAGAAACACTTCGTTATTCTCTGCACACAGGAAATACTGTTGGCCCTCTATATAGCACGAGAAGGTGTTGTATCCTGGCATGTCATGCTGCCCAATATAGAATTCTGAAATACATGGGATATACAACAGTTTATATTTTGGTCACCGCCTGGTAATTATACCTGATAAATAAATATAGACTTATACTTCAGTCATGGAAAGCCGATTCTTACTTATACGCACGTCATGAATCTCACTCGTTCGATGCGCTCACTCGTTTAGTTTCTGATACAAAAACATCCAGAGCTAGCGTGTAGTGACCGCTAGCACTTCCCAGTACTCTTTGCTGAATTGCCTAGAACTGGATCAAATTTTCCCACGCACAATGGATACCCAATCCCGCCTAAAGAAAAGGAGCCAATTCTTATTATAAGATATTGTGGAGCAGATTCTTATGATAAAATGTTTTCATTCCTCTACAGTCGTTTGCGTCATCTTGTTACAATGAAAGTCGACAAAGCTGGTCAAAACAAAGGAAGCTGTTACTTTAGTGATATTTTTGGCGGGAAAATTCAATTTGGCTAGAAATAATCGGCTCCTGCGCTAGATCAATAAGTTTCTCATCCCTTGCTAAACTTACTGGCTTTTTCGTTATCGTGATTTGCTTTATTAAATTTTGTTGCCAAAGACAAAAACTATAAACTTTGATCCAAATGAAGACATTTTGACGCTGCCTTCCTTTACTATCAAATGAAACGGTGAAGATTGAAATAACACTGAATATGCATGAAAAAACAAACAAACAAACAAAGAAAGGAAGCGCTTGCATTAACTTGACGTCTTACTCGTGTGTCCATATTTTCAAATTACCTGTTGTTTCCTCATAAGCGTTTCCCGTAAATTCCACAGTTATCCTTGCTTCCCGTTCATGACCCTTCTTTGTAACAGCTTTTAAATAAGCTCCTCTAGCGTATTGTCGAACATTCGCCATTATGACTTTACATTCCATGCTCTTCGCCCAGGTGAGTTCCATCTGTTGAGAAGAGAAAGATAACGTATCTAAATTCAAAATACAAAGCATGGATTCATTTCGCAGGTGCTTGTTTGTTTCCTTAATATTTCTAATTTTTCTTCTCCGCTTCTTTTGATGTCAACTGTTAAAATTGCAGATATATATTAACCGTAAAAAGGTTTAAAGGTTTTTCAACGCACTATTTCAGCTGATCTGAAGAATCTCTAAACTAGAAAAACTACTTCCCATGTTTTCAAAAACACTCCCTCCATACATTACAAGACCTTACATCTGGTACTTCGACATTTTAAGGGTGAAAGGCCAAACAAACCTCTAACACACGACAGTTGATATTCATTTATGCAGAACAATTTATTTAAATTCTTGGACTAGATTTCCACAGAATAACCGACAAACGTCAAAAGGTCTAAAATTCAACCGTCATCATCAAAACTGGAAAAAATTAATGGGTTGAGTCGGCAAAGGTACCATCCCTATTGAGACCCTTGTCTAATACCTAGTGATTGTTACTCAACGTGAAGCAGTTGGGGGATAAGTAAGCTCACCCATTTGCTGTAATTCTTTCATACCTCTTTTGTTTCTCTGACAACTTCCATTACTGGTGACGACAT